CGAGCTACTTATCGAGCCAATCTCGTTCCGGCTCACGAGTAGGCTTTGAATCACTTACACCCTAGTTGATTTACACAACCCGAAAGAGACTTGTCAAGATGGTGAAATAAGAAGATGGATGTGTTTTGTTTTTCAATTCTCTTCCAACGGAGTGAAAAAAAATGACCTAATGCGAGGAAAGCAGCAGAGGTCTCATGAGAGTTAGGACGTGAGATCCCCCAAAAAAGCCCCAGAAATTTGACTCTCTAGAATCACTCTGCCTTTTCCTCATACGGATTATGGAAAATATAAAAATACAAGTCATGATGTATAAAATCTGTTAAAGGCATCTTGCTACAAAACATGGATGTCATGTGATTCTTACTGAGAATGTGACATATGTTAATCTTTGTGTCGGTCTTGATTTCTGTTTGTTATCAATTTCAAGTATCACCAGTGGGGCAAGCACAATAGAAGAGTGTGAATAATCAATCTGTTAAGGAAAAATTTTATGTCCGGACTCTAGACGCAGCTCTACGTGTGGAATCCAATAAAATACCACCACTTGTGCTACATCGCGGAGATTATTTCCGGGTTATTGAAGTGGAACCGCGTATGTTATTTCTGGGTTATCGAAGAAAAAGTTATAAATTCTACTTCAATAACTCCGAATCGCGAATGCTATTTCAGGGTTATTTAAGAGTTATTTTAGGGTTATTGAAGAGAAACACATATATTCTACTTCAAAAACCACGAAATAACACCGCATAAGTTATTTAAGGGTTATTTTGAGGTTATTTCGGGGTTATTGAAGAGAAACTCATATATTTCACTTAATAACCCCGAAATAACCTCCACAGTGTTATTTCAGTATTATTGAACTATAATATATGAGTTTCTCTTCAATAACCCCAAAATAACCCCAAATATCTTCTGCGGTTCCACTTCAATAATCCCTAAATAACCTCTGCGATATAGCACACATGATAGCATGTTATTGAAGTTCGCACGTAAAGCTATGTCCGTAGTTCAGGCATAAAATTTTTCCCTCTGATAGGCCGGTCTATCGGGCTAGTTTATCAACTCTCCAGGAGAATATGGCGGGTTAATCGCTCGTGATCAGTTCGCTTGGTGAATCCAGAGGGTCAATTCAACAAGTTAGCATTGACAAATAGAATAAATAATTAAGAGATGAATAATAAGAAGTCACATAAAATACAATACAAAATATTATTTTTTTTTAACATTTTGAATGTCTTAAAGATAAAGTCTTGAAATTTATTATATTTTGAGTATATTTTACATTAATATCTATTTTTCAAACAAGCCGGCTCACGAGCTAAGGAGTCAAGTTGGGGCTGGCCTGAGCTGGGCTTGTTAGCTCATCGAGCTCAACTCACGAGCTACTTATCGAGCCAATCTCGTTCCGGCTCATGAGGAGGCTTTGAATCACTTACACCGCTAGTTAATTTACACAACCCGAAAGAGACTTGTCTAGATGGTGAAATAAGAAGACGGATGTGTTTTGTTTTTCAATTCTCTTCCAACGGAGCGAAAAAAAATGATTTAATGCAAGGAAAGCTGCAGAGGTCTCATAACAGTTAGGACGTGAGATCCCCCAAAAAAGCCCCAGAAAGTCGCTCCCCATAATCTCTCTGCCTTTTCCTCATACAGATTGTGGAAAATATAAAAATACAAGTCATGATGTATAAAATCTGTTCATGGTGTCTTGCTAAAAAACATGGATGTCATGTGATTCTTAACTGAGAATGTGACATATGTTAATATTTGTGTTGGTCTTGATTTTTGTTTCCTATCAATTTCAAGTATCACCAGCGGGGCAAGCACAATAGAAGAGTTTGAATAATCAATCTGTTAAAAAAAATTTATATCTTGACTCTAGACGCAGCTCTACGTGTGGAATCCAATAAAATACCACCACTTGTGCTACATCGCGAAGATTATTTCGGGGTTATTGAAGTGGAACAGCGTATGTTATTTCTGGGTTATCGAAGAAAAAATTATATATTCTACTTCAATAACTCCGAATCTCGAATGTTATTTTGGTGTTATATAAGAGTTATTTTAGGGTTATTGAAGAGAAACACAAATATTCTACTTCAAAAACCCCGAAATAACACTGCAGAAGTTATTTAGAGGTTATTTCGGGGTTATTGAAGAGCAACTCGTATATTTCATTTAATAACCCCGAAATAAAATCCGCAGTGTTATTTCTGGATTATTGAACTATAATATATAAGTTTCTCTTCAATAACCCCAAAATAATCTCTGTGGTTACATTTCAATAATCTCTAAATAACATCTGCGATATAACACGCATGGCAGCATGTTATTGAAGTTCACACGTAAAACTATGTCCGTAGTTCAAACATAGAATTTTTCCCTCTATTAGGCCGGTTTGTCGGGCTAGTTTTATCAACTCTCCAGGAGAATCTGGTGGGTTAATCGCTCGTGATCAGTTCGCTCGGTGAATCCAGAGGGTCAATTCAACAAGTTAGCACGATAAATGGTACATTACAACTGACACACAGATGAATAAAATTGACAGGTCACTTAACAGATCACTCCAATAAAATTTGTGTCTTTAGGATAATAAAGCTTATCAGACTCACGAGGCCTACTAGACATTTGATTTGGCCAATAAAAAATGATTTATAACATAAAAGTATACTGTAATTATAACATCCATCTCCATAAAGAAAAAAAAAATGTTAATTATGTGGTAATAGTTGTGATTATGTGGTTATAATTATTAATCATCATTCACATTATTTTACATTGCTAAAAAATTCGTGACGGTAGAGGAAAGAAATATCGTCTTTCTGTTGTACGAAAGTTCGGCACACATAGAGATGAAAAAAAACAAGTGGTGATGACTCCAGAAAATGACTCCAGAAAATGACTCCAGAAATTTTTACGTGGAAAACTCGTAAAGGGAAAAACCACGGGGTCTTGCCCAGTTGCAAAAATCCACTATTAAATTAATGATTACAAAAATTCGTTATCCCGCAGACGGGAAAAAGGGTAACTATATTTTTCAAATTATAACGTTGCTGACGACATCTAGTTGGTGGTGATTGATGGTGGTCAGTGGTGGTCGATGATGGTTAGCGGAGGCTGGCGAGGGTCGACGGTTGTCGTCGGCGGAGGTCCGCGGTGGGCGACGACAATCAATGGTGATGCTGGGCTGCAACTTCTCCTCAAGGCCTCAAACTCTCTGTCTAGACTTCAACTCTTCTCATGAGAGGGATGAAGTTCTATTTATAATGTTCTGGGTACATCATTTGATCAGACGATCCGAAGAGCTTCCCTCGACCATACGACGTTTATTGGACATTTGAGTGTCCTAATGATGTCAGAATTGAGTGATCTTGGGCTCGTTGGATTTGTCTTGTTGAGCCGCTCGATTCGAGAATAAACTTATTATATTCGACAACCTTTTGATCTTCCAAATGTGTCCGAAAATCATCTAAGTGTGGTTCAATGACTTGATATGGGCTTGATGTACTAGAATTTGGCTAGTTTTCATATCATTACGTCCGTCTCATCAAGCCAGTCAGTTTGACTATAAGTTTACTAAAATTGGAGCTCTGGATGACTTTTATCAAGATTTAAATATTTATTATTCGAAATATTATCTCGAGATCCGTGTCATACCTCGAGATTCGTGTCGGATGATCAAAATGTGTTGATGGCCTATCAACATTCATCACACTTCCTTCCTTTGTTAGTCAATAATTGTTAATATGTGGTAATATAAATTAACTATTTACTATTACATTAGTTGCCCATTGATTTTTAATTCCTATTTGTAAATGTATATGATTGATTGAATGTTTTTTATTTATACTTTTTTAATTTCTCAACGTAATATAAATTAACTATTTACTATTACATTAGTTGACCATTGATTTTTAATTCCTATTTATATATGTACATGATTGAATGAATGTTTT